TATATAATAACCTAAGAACATTATCCAGTTTTGATATTTACAAATAGAATTTCATAAAGTGCAATCTGCTTCTTTGTCACCATATAATCCTTAACAGACTCTCAATTGATTTATGATTCTGCTCTAGCATCCTGTCACTCTGGCATCACTTCTCTTGCAAAAAACAGTGAGGCTACACTTAAAAATACAGCATCCTTTAGAGGAGATTAATAACATTACAATACAGCCAGAAATTTATTTTAAAGCAGATGTTATTTATTACTTAGGTGTACACCATATGAATCAAAAAAATAATCGTAATCAGTTACCGTATTTTCCAGACTATAGAGCGCACCTCACTATAAGCCGCCACCACTTAATAAAAAAAAAAAAACTGGAAACGTACATATATACATTGAACCAGGCTATAAGCTGCTGATATACACTCGCCGGCCACTTTATTAGGTACCCCATGCTAGTAACGGGTTGGACCCCCTTTTGCCTTCAGAACTGCCTCAATTCTTCGTGACATAGATTCAACAAGGTGCTGGAAGCATTCGTCAGGGAGTTTGGTCCATATTGACATGATGGCATCACACAGTTGCCGCAGATTTGTCGGCTGCACANATTTGGTTAAATGATACTGAAATATGATAGGATTAAAAATTAACATAAAATAAATTACAAAAAGTTGAATAAATAGTAGGGCTGAATGATTTTGAAAAAAAAAAAAAAAAAACAATATATAAAATTCACTAATATAAGGATTACAAATTTCTTTGGGGTGCATATTAAGGTTCCACTTAATGATCCTGAAAATTTCCTTGTCCAGAGTCCACTGTCACAGTGGACCAAATAATAAAATGATCTGAACATATGGAAGTGAATCTGTGTTGCTGGAATTTGAATTAAAAATGCCACTGAAATTTAAATGTTGTATGTTTGTACTCTGTGTTAAAATATATTCAGAACACATTTTTGACCTAAAAAAAATTCATTGTCATTATTTCTACACAGTTGAAATTGCATTTGTTATTTTCTCTTCAAGCTAAAAATTCACATTACTATTTCAAAGTGATTACATTTCATTTTCAATAATTATTTTTCAATTTAATTTTTCAGTGTTAAAAAAATCTGCATATAAAAAAAATCCAACCTTTCAAAATTCAAACTCAATATTTTCAGCCTCCTGAGATTCAACTGGCTCAATTTCACTGTTTTAAATTCGGCGTCTAATTCAGTGTAAAAAGGGAAGGGTTACTTCAGGTCACAGACATCAGCAATAAACTGTGGTGTCCAACACCCAGCCAATCCCGTTACGTTTTCTTAGTCACATGACGTGACGCTTGTGGCGCTCATACTGAAGGAAAACCAGTATCACGGAGCCGGTCATGCAAGCTAACGCTAACTCAACTACAGAAAAATGAAAGTAATAAACTCCCGAGTACATGCCCTTGGAGTTTTTGGTAGGTATGAAAATGTTCCCAGTTGAAATAGCTCAAATGGCCTAAAACTACACATGCGCCACTTTAGGTATACATGGTTAGAACATCCTTATTCAGCATTTTGAAGAAGCGTTTTTCTCATTTGAGCCTCAGACATTTATTTAGATCATCTCCTAGCTGTAAAACTACATTGAACGCTGAGGGAATATCAAAAATGGTGTCTTAGTCTTAAAGAAATGATATTCAAGCAGTTTATGAGTCTGGTAAAAGCATTTAATATGGCTTAAATAAGTTAGATTAGCCTTTTACTGTATCTAAAAGTCTACAGTTTCTGAACACCAGAGGTGTCAAATAACAAATTACAAATACTTTGTTATTGTACTTAAGTACACTTTTTTGGTATATATACTTTACTCCATTACATTTCTACTCATTACATTTTCACACAAGTATCTGTAGTTTCTATTCCTTACATTTTTAAAGCAAATGTTACTCTTTACTCTTGGGTTATGCTTAATGTTTATAAATGTTTATTTCACGTCCTGTGCGCCATCCAATGCAAATCATGGCTCCATCCACATCTAGTGAAAACTAGTGGAATTGGATGAGTTATATATGGCAAACACTCATTGGTTAGCTAAAGGAAATCATCAGAAGCAAGCAGGTGTTCTTCAAACTGCAAACATGAACTGTTTATACCATGCTACAATGTACCCTCTGATGACATGGTAAAAAAAAATGTTTAATTGTGGCCACGAAGTAGTATTTCGTGCGCACGAAGTAGTATTTCGCGGGCACGCAATAAGTATAATGTGCGCACGAAATACTACTTCGTGGCCACGCAGTAAGTTTAACATGCGTACAAAATACTTAATAAATAATTAATAATATCAATAAATCCGCCCCTGTTTTCAGGCTTATGTTAACTGTAATGACTTATCTTGGACAGGCTGCTATGTAAACGGGCCTTTAGTCCTTCGTTTAGCTATGCTGCGGTTGTTTACACTACGCCTTTTCCACCAAAAATGGCGTCNTTGACCATGTCTACATGCCTAAATGCACTGAGTTGCCGCCATGTGATTGGTTGCTTAGAAATTAAGTGTTAACGAGCAGTTGGACAGGTGTACCTAATAAAGTGGCCGTTGAGTGTATACTGTTTCCCACAAGGTGAACTGTCTCCCACCAAACCTGTAGGGGGAGCTCTACATATAGTCCCTAGAGTAGGGACGAAGAAGAATGCCCGATCCGTTTTGCACATGCGCGAACAGATGTATTGTAGTTATTATGGTACCCAAACTACTTATTTCTATCCTTAACTCACTAAAGAATGCTAATACACATCTTTAAAAAATGTTTTATGAATTTTGTGAGATAATTTTTATGCTTTTTACATTTGTTTCGTTTAACTTTAGCGTCATCATCCAACATGCTCAGGGCAGTCTGGCAAAATTTGACCATGTTTATCTTCATTTTAGTTGTTTCCTTCTTTAGATTACGCACTATATAACATAAGGTTTAAATGAAATGAAAACATAAAACTCCAAAAGACTAGATTTATGTTTTGTCAGGATGTGGTGTTGGTTTGAGAACCCAAATGCAGAGGCAAGTTGGCAGAGGTGAATTTAAGTGGGTTTGATAAGGTTCACAGGAGCTGAGGCAGGAATCAAAAATCCAACAGAAATTACAAACGAACCAGAACCAGGGAGACATCAGGGGAAAACCAAACTCTAGGAGCCAGAGAGAGACGAGGAAAGCAGACAGACATTTGACGAGGATCCAGCAAACAGGAACTGAAGAGGGAGGCTTTTAAAGGGGACAGAAACAAAGAGAGAGCTAACGAGGGGATTGAAAACAGGTGAGGGCAGAATAGAAAACAGAGCTAGGGAAACAGGACACAAGAGGGCAGCAGAGGACAACACATGGAAAACCAAGAAAACAGGAACTAACAAACCAAGAATGTGACATATTTAAATCCAAAGCCGAAAAAGTTAGCCACCGAATTAAGGTAGGATCCCATTTCCGCTGTAGATCAGGAAGAGATGAGTGATAAAACAGAAAGGATTTTAAGGCATTTCATTTCTCAGTAAAAATATTGTTAATAACATATTATTTTTTAGTGCCTTCACTATCTTAGGGGAGGGAATATGTCATTTGGGTATTTTTAACAAAATAAAATCGAAAATGTCCTGCATGTATATCTGGATGCGCAAATGAGCTTATAGCGCATGTGCAGAACGGATCGTGCTTCCGGGACGAATCGGGTAGTGACAAGCATAAAGAGCTTCTGCTGAAAGATGGGGCTTTGTTGGCTCTTTATTTCTAGTGAAAACTAGTGCAATTGGAGGAGTCGTATAACGCAAACACTCATTGGTTAGCTAAAGGAAATCATCAGAAGCAAGCAGGTGTTCTTCAAACTGTAAACGTGAAATGTAAATGCCATACTACAATGTAGGATTCAGAAAAAGATGTTGTAATGTCTTAAAGGTCGGACACATTCTCAAAGAATTTTTCAAAATAGTCAAAAAATTGAGCTTTCAATTCATATAGTGGCATCTGGCTGTTTTTTTTTAAAGGTTACTTTATACTTTTATACTTTCAGTAGTTTTTGGAGCACATACTTTTTCACTTTTGCTTGAGTAAAGAGGTCAACTTGATACTTCAACTTTTTACCAGTGTGTTTTTAACCTGCAGTATCTATACTTCTACTTAATTAATAAATGTGTGTACTTTTGAAACCACTGCTGAACATTCAAAGCTGCTGCCAATTTCCTCAAGTCTAATCATCTAAGTTCACCCTGACAGCAAGATGCTACAAGTAGTCTCCTGAAATCCTAAAATGCTATTGTGGGACTTTCAGCAAACCATTCCTACTAGTGATATGAAAAGTGCATGTCTGTACCTGTGAGAAGATACTGCACTTATGGCTTCATTTGAGATATGAAAGTAGGAAGCATTTGCTCCCTAAAGAAAACAGGACTGGACTAAGATTTGTCAAAAACGATAACCTAAACTGCTGATACATTTGATATAGATTGTAAAACCAGAAATGTTATTGTGTTTGTGAGCACATATTTTCCACATGTAAAAAAATAAGCCATGCTTATATTTCTTGGAAATATTTTTACAAGTGGAGTGGCCTGATGCTTCAATTTAATTTTGCATCGAAGGTTTATGCTGTATGTGAGAAAAATTGAAGGAAATTGAAGGATTGTTCTTACTTTGTACTGTAAAGCATAGAAACTTCCACATGATGTTTCTTTAGTTTAGACCTAAGTATGTCTACAGATTAGTTGTTCGTGTTGATGTACAAAATGGTGAATCAAAGCAGATTTAGTATTCACCATATGTCCCAGTTACAACGGGGCTTAAAGTCTTATTGGTTAAAGCAACAACAAAATGATTAACATGGAAATAGCAGGTCATTACATTTTGATTTCATAACATTTGTTCCTCCATCTGTAAACCTTATGTTGCGATTTCTAATCCAGGCTCCTCCTCTTATAGCCCTTCATGCTATGCTGTTCTGTTATATGGATTCTGGTTGTTTTAAATTGGTCTCTGTTTTCTCTCTCTATGCAGGCTGAGACGATGGGCTGTGTGAAGAGCAAAGAAGACAAAGGCCCCACCATGAAATATCAGACTGAGAATTCCTCACGGTCTGACCCCAACACCTCCACCTCTGTGCCTCACGCCGGTCATTATGGGCCGGAACCAACGCAGACGCAGCAGAATCAGGGTCCAGCATCTTCCTCCAACTCTGCAGCTGTGAATTTCAACCAAGCCCTAACGCCATTTGGAGGCTCCTCCTCTGCCATGACTCCTTTTGGAGGAGTGTCAACATCCTTCACTGGTCCCATGTCAAACTCTTTCTCTGGTGCCGTCTCTAGTGAGTCGTTTTTATTTCTGTAGAACCACTTCTACCTATCACAACCTTAGTTTGCATTTTTAATACGTATGTTTTTGAATAAATAAAATCAGCTCTCAAAGCCTTTGGTAAGCAATTATCAGAATTCGTTTTATTGAACTTTTCACCTCTCCCTACAGCTAATTTTAAAAGCTGAGTTGTTGGGTGAGTTAAAGAAAAAGATCAAAGAGCGTTAAAGGTGCATAGTAACGTAATATTTCTAGACAAAAAAGACCAAAAAAACCTTCAATCATGATAAAATAACATGCAGATTGCCCATCCTGATAGTGTTTTGATAGTCCTTTTTTTAGCCTAAATAGATTTTCAGCAGGAGGTGCCATGAGCAGACATAAACCAACTTGTGCCCCATCTGCTGCCAGATCTATTAGAAAGACACATTCCTACATTGTATTTGTTAAAATATCAATAAACATATAAAAATAGATAACAGCATCACAATTTTAATGGTATGCATTATTTTTATCTATGTGCTGGAAATGTCCCATTATTTGATTTCAGCAATCTGGTCACCTTATTTTATTGGGATCATAATCCTGATGAACTGACTTCTAATATGATGTTTAAAAGTGTTTAAAATATTTTTTCCAACTTGTAAGGTAAATAAAACCAAGCTGCTCTCAGGTTGTAGCTACAGTAGCAGCCGTTCAAGATGGCCCTTGCATTTGAATTACAGGGTGTGACCAGGAGATGATGCTTCTCTTTAGATCGTAATGTCAGCAAATTGGAAAGAAAGAATATTTTAGTACAAATATTGATGTTTAAAAAGGAATTAAAGGGGATCAGCCACTACTGTACAGAACAGAGCAGATAAACAACCAGTGCGCCGAGCATCTAGAGTGTTGAAGTGTCAAAGCAACTTGAACCAGCGTCTGATAAGATTTTTTTTTTTAAAGTGAGTAGTGGAGATGATCTTCTTCGTTTAAATCCTAAAACGTCCACATTACACATTGCCATGATTTTTTTTAAAGAGGGAATTTCCCGCGTTGTAGAAACCGGATTTGCAGGGATGCATGAGATATTGCTACTATTCCCGCTATGCCTATGTTAATTTTAAGCCGTGAAAAAACAACAATCAGATCTGAGGAGATGAAAATTCATGATCTAAAACTGTTTTTGTGCAAAACTTTTATAAAAAATGTATAAACTATAACACACTTGTGTTACATCACCCATAGACCTATCCTAAATGTTTAAAATGAAATATATTAGGTTCCCTTTAAAACCAGATTTAAAAATTTATCATAAAAGGTCCAATGCAATAAAAAAAAAAACATTTTCTTATCTAGTGGCCCTAACTTAAAGGTTCTTTTTGGTTTTTTTTTCCTTGATTCCTACCACTCAAACACCAGACGTCTTTTAGACGTTGGTTTTTAGGCTAAATCTGGTCGGTCCTTCATAGACTTGTTTAGTCCAGAAATACTTGTAGAAAACTGGTCTGTTTGGTCAGTCTGATTTAGTCCCACTTTAGTCCAATAATAGACATTAAAAACATTTTGAAAAGACTTTCTGAAAATCACGACTTTTAACCTTTCACTTTTTAACCTAATGTAGACGCCAGTTGGACATCAATAGGCTCTATGCACAACTCCACCCTTTCCTGAACTTCAGGAGGCTCCTTTGTTTCCTGTCTTTCATGATTGGATGCACTGATTATTCCAAGTGTGTATGACCTAAGTAACTGGCCAGACACACCTGGATTAATCAGTTCGTCCAGTAATGAAAGACAGAAAACAAAGGAGCTACTTTAAATTCAGGAAGTAGTGGAGCTGTGCATAGAGCCCATTATGTTGTGTTTTCAACCAATTTTTGCTTGGTGGGTAAAGTATTATAGATTGTCTTGTGCACAAACAGTACTAGATTATTAAGCTTGCCTTGTGTTGTCTTAATATCCATTTCTTCTCAGTGGCATTTTGTCCCATATATCCTCTCTTTATCCTTATATACCCGTCCAGCTACAGCCATCTATGTCTGTACCAGCTTATCAAAGGGGCTGGTTGCTAGCCTCGTGAGACCATCCTGATCTCGCGAGCTTTCAAGATTTCACTCGCTAATCAGTCTGGAGAC